AAAAAATAAAAAATAAAAATGTATAAGTAAAAAATGAAAGCCCTGCATTCTCATCCCTCCTATTCCTAGCCCTACTTCCTGCAGGTAATAACTAATATAAACAATTTAGGATGGAGCCATTGGTAATTTATTCCCAATGCATATAAATATATAAATATACATAGAATTGTTTTTACAAAAATTGAATCAAACTCTTCATATTAGAAATGGCTCATTTCACATAATATATTTGGCTATTGTTTCATATTGATTGACCTTCTCTTTTAAGAGTTACCAAGTAACTCCCATCCTGATGGATGCATTACCTGTGTCAATCCCCTGTGAAATGTCCATTAAAACAAAAAGCAAACAACTGGAATGATGAATTTAAAGTAAATTTGTGGAGAGAAGAGAAGAAGGAATGAATCCACATACTGAATTCTTTTCGGATACCTGATTCTTTCTAGGAGTTTAAGCCTTGGCCTTGTCAGGGCCCGCCTTCCCCTTGCTGAGTCTACTGCCCCTTGTGGAGGCTAGCCCACAGGGCTCTTAAAATTGTGTGCAGACTTCACTCGTTTGTGGCCACCAGGCACTTCAGTGAAGGGCAAGCAAGAGCTCTTCGGGCACAAAGTGAAGGAACAACATGGAGCCTAGGACTCCAGGATAAACCTTTTGGTCTCCAGCATGAGATAAATTGGGGATGATGTTTGCACCTCAGATTTCCTTCAAGAATCAAATGTTCCATATGCCCCAAAGAGAACTGGTTGGCTCAACAGCTAAAAGACCTCTCCTCTAGAGGCAACTTTTAACTTATTTTTTTTTTTAAGGGCAAAGTGAATTTTGCTTGCTCCTGATGAGCAGGTGTGACTCAGCAGAGGTTTTTACTAAGACTTTTATAGGTACATATTACAGTTCATCTCTACACCTGATGGTCTTCTAATGGGGATGGAGATTTATTAGCCCACAGATAAGACAAATTGAGGCTTTGTACACAGTTCTCTGAAGCCACTTAGAGCTGATTTCATGAGAGTGCTATTTGTACATCCTCAAGCTTGGTATTTAAAGAGAATTGTTCAGTTTTGAGAAAATTGCTCTGAGCATGAACAATTTCCTCCTATTATGGTGTCTCATTTTCAGCCACTCTACTGCATTCTTACTCATGCATTCTATCTTCTCTTGCTCTCTCTCAGACCCCCTGAAGGACAGAGAGGTAGGAGGCTACACAGGGGATGGGGGGGGAGGTGGTAAATTTGCTAAATGATGATCTGAACTAGGCTCTTGAGCCAGCCCAGGAGGGCTCACCTCAGAGAGTGCAAGCTGGCCATGCTTATACACTCACCCAGGGCAAGTGAACCCCACTATTGCTCAACTTGCAGGCACAGACCAGAACAGGAGGACAATTGGAGCGCTTGTTTCTCAACTCTTCTTCCACCAATCCCATTTGTTTGCACCAACAGGAATGTATTTTACTTTAATTTATAGTTTTCTAGAAGCAGGGCATAGTTTTGGTGGTGAGGTGTCCAGAAATCATCCCCAACATGCAGTGTATTTCTCTCCTGAGGGAGGAGAGACTTGCTCCCTCTGCCCCTTGCCGTTCTTCACCCTAAAGCGGCAGAGGGTACTTGGAGGCTTTGGTGGAACTGGGAGATTTTGAGCACATCCTACTCCCCCAGCCAGGAGATGGGTTTGCACAGATGCATTGGTGTATAAAACAAGGTACTTGGCTGTGTGTGTCTCTAGGCATCATTCTTCTTGATGTAGTTTTTACCGAGAGGTTAATGTTTTCAATATGTAAAGGCAAGAATGTAATGCCAAGGAATACAATATATAATTTAATTGGTGAAAATGTGTATTTATTTAATTAGAACATAAAAATAATCTCCCCAAGTCACTGTATGAAGCATTTTTTAAAGAAGGGATGTAGCTATTATGTTTTAAAAGATGTGCCTTTGTATATCATACCATTTCTTCTACTTTTGTTTATATTTGAAATTTTCTGAAATGTTTTTAAAATGTACTGTGGGGGTCAATATCAACAGCTTCATCAATGGACATTTTTCGTTTGCGTATTTATGTGTTGATTTTAATGCGTACTAGGAAAAATACCCACATAGCACATTCGCCCTGGATTCCACGGATAGTTTTGGCTTAGGACGAAGCTTCATTTTGTTAAGTTTTTCAAAAGTGACTTCGCTTTAAAATAAATGGTAAAACAGTCAATACCAGTATGGCAAAAACTGGAGATGCAGCTTTCGAGTGGACTAAATTTTGAGAAACACTGGTCTAATATTTCCATCTGTTACCATTCATACAAGAAGCCAGTTAATTAAGTAACAAACTGACCTCCTTCCATCCCTAGCAATAAGCCTGTGATAAATAATTCTATCTCTTTATAGCCTGCTTAAACAATAACAATTTTAATACAGAAAACAAAAAAACCACATTCCCCAGAAGGCCCCGGGGGCGAAGAAACCTCCGGAGCATAGAGTTTAATTCCTAGCTGGGCCTCCCGTTCGCCACTTCCGCCCGTTCGCCTAAAACTGCGCTTGCGCACTGAGTCTCTTCCTCTCTGGGCTTAGACCTAGCTTGCGGCGACATGGTGAGTGTTGCTGCCGTTGAGGCCTAGAGGTCTATCCGCCCGCATCTGACCTTTTCTTGCTATCTTCGCCCTCACCCGGCGTCTGCTCGCCCGCCCTGCCCCGCGCCGTCTTCGGCCTTCGTGCCGTGGCCGCCCCTTTCGGACGTAGACCGGGGCGGAGGGGCGGGGGCGGCTCGGTGGCGCCTGGTCCATCCGGGCCGGGTTAACAGGGTGCCCTCGGAGCCCGGGGACCGCTCTGGCCTCAGATTTTGCCAGGATGGAATGAGGGGGACCTAGGTCACTGGCAGGGACTGGGTGATTGGAGGAATGGTGTTTGGCGCAGGGAGTGGGGGGCAAAGACTCCGTTCCCGGGTCCTAATATCGACGGTTTCTCTCTTTGCTCTTAACAGGCTAAACGCACCAAGAAGGTCGGAATCGTGGGTAAATACGGGACACGTTATGGTGCCTCCCTCAGAAAAATGGTGAAGAAGATTGAAATAAGCCAGCACGCCAAGTACACTTGCTCCTTCTGTGGCAAAGTAAGGTGGTCTCTGGGGGTGGGGGGCAGAGGGAGGGGAGGCTTTCCTGCGAAGTGAGCCCGCTCTTGAAGGAAGTTTGTGAATAGTGTGCGGGGTTGTGGATAACTGTGGATTTCGTAGAATGCTTTCCATTTACACTTGGGAACTAAAGGGTCAAACGTTTGACAAGGAGCCCCAGCCTAAGCCAAGCCTGCTTCGTGGGAAATGACTTGTCCGTTCTGTCTGCTGGTGTTGCTGGAGAGTTCCGTGTAATGTTTGTATGTCGATGGTGTGCAGGAGTACTGTTTGGGAAGGGGGGGGAACGTGATCCCAGGACCCTGGGATCCCAACCTGAGCCACCCAGGTGCCCCAAAATACACCCATTTTCTAGTGTAATTTAGACTCCTGGATGGTGGTGAGGTAAAAGGCTTTTATTGGTTCATAGGGAAAACTGATTGTCTTTTACAGACGAAGATGAAAAGACGAGCTGTGGGGATCTGGCATTGTGGCTCCTGCATGAAAACCGTCGCTGGTGGCGCCTGGACCTACAAGTGAGTCCCTTTTCTTTGTGGTATTTGGAAGGGTGTGGATCACATCAAAATTCCAGGTTTGACGCTGGACGGGCTAGTTTTAACTCTTTTTACAAGACTGAGAAAACAGGAATGCTTTTGTTTTTTTTCATGACTCATGGACAGTTATGGTTTATGTTCAGTTATTCAAAGACTAGAAACAAAACTACTACAATAGAAAAGTCTGAAATGACTTCAGAATTTCATAGAATTCTAAGGGTCATCAGTGTGAGCATAATGATACTGTCCAGGTAGGTCCTTTAGTGGGACTGGATCTATACTGAACTTTGACTTGTACTGCAAGCTGTTTTTATAAAAATGAGATCAGTTAGCTTGTTACTGTGGATGGAAACTTGAGGCCACCTGGACCACGACACCTTTGCCATTCCAAACAATACTGGCTGGACCTCGACAGCTTTGTGACCCTGACAAGTGCCGGGTGATGCTGCTGAGATAAATCTACCTGTGCTGGTTATTGATTGAGTGGACTTTTGAGTTAATCTATTTCTGGAAATTAAAGCCACCCTTGAAGATCTCTAATTTTGGAATTTGTTGCTGACCTTAAAGGCTGATATGTGATCCAGTATCTAGATGTGTGCTGTCCAATACACTAGCCTCCCACGTATAAAATGGTAAGGCTAGTGTGGTTGAAGAGTTGAAATTTTAATATTTTATACTGCAGCAGTGTATTGTGTACTGGAAAGTGTTGAAATGATCATTTATATATATATATTTTATATATGTGTGTGTCTTGTGGGCGTCTATGAGGTCAAAAAGGCAAACGGAGCCTAGCGTGCTCTCTTGGTTGTGATGATAACATGAACTAGCATTCCTGTACCGACCATATGTGATGGTTATGGGTGTTCCAGGTAGAGTTCCAGAATCTTTTGGTATAACTTTTTGTAGTCATTTTAATAGCTGTCTTCCCAAAATATACTTGTCTGTTCTACCTATTTTGACACTGTTTTGATATCTCTCATTTATGATACCATCTTAAAATTTATTTCTTCTGACATTGTGTCCATTCCCTTTCAATGAGTTTAGGTCAGCCTCCTGCAACCATTCATTCATCCCTGTTATTTTTTTTAATGCTGCTTGAGAGATCAGATGCATGAGATTGCCTATTCTGCAAAAGCCTGAAGACACAACTCTTGTTAAAAGTTGTCATCATCGTTAAGATCGTAATGTAAAAATGAGGCAGGATTTACTCATTTGCCATTTCACGTGTTAGTGTAGCTAATTATATTGGAACCAACTTTGTTTTTCTTTCCAGCACCACTTCTGCTGTCACAGTAAAGTCTGCCATCAGAAGACTGAAGGAGTTGAAAGACCAGTAGAAGCTTCACCATTTGAAACATTGCTAGCCTATAATAAATGGGTTAATTTATGTAACAAAAGTACTTTGGCTTGTTGTTAAATTTATTAATTAGATCTTTCAATTTGTGTTGCATTAGTTTTGCTTTCTCAAAGGCCTTGGAAATTAAAAATCCTTCTAATTTTTATTGGAAAAGTGTGCTGAGATTGGGTTTTCCTAATACAGCTTTTTTTTTTTTCTGTAGTCAAATGATAGATGATATAAGAATATAAGTCTTAGAGGTTGGATATGTGTCTTTGCTTTCTATAGGTATATCCTTGGCCAAGTCAACTCTTTTGAGCTACATGAATTCACATTGTGAGGACTTTTGTTTTTAGATCACGGTTAATTTTTTTGTTTCTAAAGGTAGGATGACATATACTGCCTTCTAACTTAATGGGTGTTTTGTCTCACCACACGTTTTATCAGCATCTTCAGAAAACAATATGAAACAATTAGAATTTTAGGACAAATTTTGCAGATGTCTACCCCATTCTCCCATTTTTCAGTTGCAAAGAAGGATGGACAGGATTGAATTACTCAAGTTGGTGTAGATGGTCAGTTACACCAATAAACATGAAGAACCATGGAGGAATTCGAGTTGTGTGAATAGTTTATGGTGACGATTAACCTTTTTTCATCTTTATTCAGTCCATCACTTAATTCTCTGCCAGTTTTTGTGGTTCACCTTTTCTCAATCTTGTCTAAGCTACCATCTGTGGTAAGGAGTCCTTAGGAACCTCCCTAACAGGTATGTCTGTCTATACTCCAAAGACAGTAATTCTTTAGGAATACAAATCTGATAGGATGAAAACATGGATTTCCTATGCCCTTAGGATAGAGTAAAAATCTTTCTTCATGGGCTGCCCTTCTCTTCCATAACTCTCTGGCCCATTACTAGCTTTTTTTTTTTTTTTAAATATTTTTGTTTATTTATTTGACAGAGAGAGACACAGCGAGAGAGGGAACACAAGCAGGGAGAGTGGGAGAGGGAGAAGCAGGCTTCCCGCGGAGCAGGAAGCCCGATGCGGGGCTCGATTCCAGGACCCTGGGATCATGACCTGAGCTGAAGGCAGACACTTAACCGACTGAGCCACCCAGGCGCCCCGCATTACTAGCTTTCTTAAGTTCTCTATAACATCTGTTCACAGATTTTTTACCTTTACTTCTACATTGGCTGTGGCACAAACATTGCCTCGGGGTAATGCTCTGTGTCAAGCCCTTATTAGACTCATAGCAGGAACTCTAGGTTTGTGTTTAATTGTTGCCCCCAACAGTTTTGTTCGTTAACGTATCCCCAGTATCTAATATAATTCCTTGCACATAGTAGCCTTAAGTATTTGATGAGTGAATGTGTGGCTCTTAATTTTGTAGCAAAATGGTACCTGTAAACAGTGTGTTTTTGTACTGTGAAACGTCAGTTCTGTGAGTCTGTAGGAATAAGACCAGGATTGACAAATCAGGATTTTCAGACTTCATGGAAATGTTTGACACAGGTCTTCCAAAACCCCAGATTTTGCGTTAGGGAGTTAAATAAACATTAGGTACCTGGAGTTAACAGGTACCAACTCAGCCAAACTGCCTCCATAGTTATGTGGTCCAGGTTACTTAACCTGTGCTTCAGTTTCCAGAACAATGCCTGGTAGTAAAATGGAGTATATGATGGGAGCTAGGGTTTATTAATTATTGAGAATCTTATTTGAAGGCCGCCTGTGTTACTTTGTTTGGAATTTGGATGTGATTGTATAGGTAATAGAGAACCATTAGAATTTTGTAAGCAGTGATGTAATATTTAACATTTCTTGAGCCTGAGTAGTCTAAGCACTGAATATCATTTAATCCCAAAACAGCTTTATGAAATGTAGATAATATCCCCATTTACACACATGAGAAAGCTATATAACTTGTAAATGGTGGAGCTGGGATTTGAAGCAGTGCGTGTTGGCTGATAATACTAGAAATTTTTTTACTTTTAATGTGTTTATTAAGATAAAGAACAGATGGGAAACATAGAGGCTAGTTAGAAGGGTGTTGAAATAGTAAATATTTTGTGGATAGAAAATAGTGATTTTCTCAAGGTTATGGTAGGCGGTGAGGGTAGGGCTTAAAATTAGGTTTCTGACTCCGTAGTCCAGGATTTTCCCACTTTGCTAAGCTGCCTTATGAGCTCAAGAGTATGTTTCTTCTCAGTTTGCCTCTTTACAGATTAAAGATCCCCACCTTCATTTTACTCTCACGAAGCAACCCTGGCTTATTTTCAGAGCCTTTGGTTTTTAAGCCATTTAACTGACTGGATCAGGATACAAAGGTGAATAAGGCAAATGTTCCTCACTGGACAGGCTATATCTCATTCTATTCTAAATATTTTTGTCTGTGCTGTGATAAACGCACGGGTTGCCCGAAAGCCCAAACACATACAAATGCAAGTTTGTTCTGGGCTTGGAGATGACGGATGGGGACTACTTAGAGATAGGACTAGAGTTCAAATCCTGCAACCAAGATCTGGGGACAGGAACGGGTTCTACAAGTGCCCAACTAAGAATGGAAATAATACATGTGCAGCAGCAGTTTTGAAATGTAGCCGCCAGAACCAAGCAGTCTATATGAAGTTAAACCTTTTTTTACTTTCACTGTCTTCCTCAGGAAAACCAAAAGCCATTTTGTTGTTGCTAGCGCTTTGGGCCAAAATTGAACAACAGGGCAGGGAAATGGATTATGTGTTTTGGGATAAATTAGTCAAAATGAGTCAAGGGTCAAGTATATGTCATGCCATGGTCAACCCTGTAGGCCAGAGCCTTTGAGAATCAGGACAGTGGGTGGTATGGCTGACAGCAAAGACCCACAGGGATTTTTGTGGTTCAGCTGATGAAGAAGGGGGTTAGAGGGTAGAGACCTCATTTGATCAGCATACATTGACCACTCCCTGAACTAGGGACAAGATATGATTGCCAATCTTAGCTTCACTAGTGGGGTGAAATATGCTTCATTACACTTATAAATTCCTGGTTTGGAAAAATGGTATATGGTAAAAGCGTTTCAAAGTAACATGTTGGGCGCCTGGGTGGCTCAGTCAGTCAAGTGTCTGCCTTTGGCTCAGGTCATGATCCCAGGGGGTCCTGGGATCGAACCCGGCATCCAGCTCCCTGCTCAGCGGGAAGCCTGCTTCTCCCTCTCCCACTCTCCCTGCTTGTATTCCCTCTCGTTTTGTCTCTGTCAAATAAAATCTTAAAAAAAAAATTAAAATCTTTAAAAAAAAGTAACTGTGTACATGTGGGTGCCTTATGTGTGTGGCAGTTCCAGTCAATATGCTAATTTTCAGAGCTCAGCAAAATGTTTCTAAAATTTATTTGGAAACAAGTAGAAAGGATAAGCAGAAAGTCTGTAGCTTAGTGATTAAGAACATGGACTAGGGTCAGAAGTAGTTTAGATTTCTTACTAGTGAGTGACCTTGGACAAGTTTACCCCTTTTTTCAGGTTAAGTGTCCTTATCTGTAAAATGGATATAATAGTGTTTCTTTCAAACAACAGATTAGGTAATTTTGGTTCCAGAACACTCATTAATGGTAAGGTCCAGGAACCCAGGATACATGGAATCCTGGGTCATGGAGAGGGGAGGGTACTAGAGATACTGGTGCTGTTTGAGTAAGGGTGTTACGTCAGAGGAGACAGGAGGGAAACTGCCTGTGGTAGAAGGAGGAGTTACGTTGAGGAAGGAGGAGAAGATGTCAGGTTCAGGCAGAAGAATCGCATAAGGTAGTTTTTGGTCCAAAAGGAAAGGAGGCTAAAGCAAGACCTTACTTGAAAATAGGAAGCCAGTGTCACGCTGTCTGTGTGTGCATGCACGCATGTGTGCCCATATGTGTCTGTGGCCACATGATGTGCCGGTTATGTGGAACACTCGTAGGGTTTCATTTTTGGAGGCTCTTGTGATACTCCCTGTAGGGGTAGGATACAGTTTGCTCCTTTGTCATCAGTCTGCTTGTGCTGTTCTGTCTGTGCAAACTTGTCACGTGGACCTGTACATCATGGGTCAGGTTGTGGCACATTTGTGCTGTCTCAAGCAATAACTTTTCCAGGTGCTTTACATAGATATTTTAGTCTAATTGTAGATTATTTAATCTCTTCAGTTTACTCCAGGCTGTGGGGAAAAGAAGGTCAGGGTTGACTGCATTTTGCACAGGAACCATAAAAAGATTGCCCCAGGCACTATGGAAAAAGGGATGGACATCTGACAAGAGTAAATGGAACCAGTCAACTCTCTGCAGAGAATTTAAATCAAATGATAGAGGGGCAGAGTTACACAAAGGCGGAGCACTAAGCTTCAGGAAAAGCTCATGGACTCCCTGCTGCCAGGATCACAGGGCTGCCCCAATTCCTAACTTGTTTCAGCTAGAGTTCTTTGGTTGTGTGCAACCCAGACCGACTCAGGCTAATTAAAGCAGAAGAGATCTTACTGGAAGGTAACAGAGTGCTTCACAGGATAGAAAAAAACGACCAAGTTTGTAAGGGGAAGAAAACCAGGGCATCTTTTCTGGTTATCACTGACATGCTGAGACAGAGTCCTCTTAAGGAATCCCCAGTGGGGGCATCAGATCTGTGTTTTGTCTTTTTGACACTGTTTAGGAGTGAAAGACCTGAAGAACTAATCTCATTGGCCTAATTGGGGTTACATTTCCAGCCCCGGGCACCTGCGTAGACAGTCTCACCAAGACTACACACAACAGGAAAAATCTCCAAAAGGAAATCGGATTGGCTATAATTTGAGGAGTGAAAGTGACTTCAATACTTGAATTATCAACTTGAGTTATCATTTATTTATTTATTTTTTAAAGATATTATTTATTTGACAGAGACACAGCGAGAGAGGGAACACAAGCAAGGGGAATGGGAGAAGGAGAAGCAGGCTCCCCGCTGAGCAGGGAGCCCGATGTGGGGCTCGATCCCAGGACCCCGGGATCATGACCTGAGCTGAAGGCAGACGCTTAACTGACTGAGCCACCCAGGCACCCTTTGAATTATAATTTAGATTGTGTTCTTACTAAACCATCTAATTTAAAATTGGAATTTTGTCTCTCACCACCTTGCAAATTGCAGCTCATGGAAGAACACTACAACACGGCCACAGTATATCCTGTAAGTTGTTCTCCAGTTCTTCCCAATGGAAACCTGAGGCCACTGGCCATGGTCAGACTAGGAGTGTATGGAGGTCGGATGATACATGATGTATTGAGTCTTCTGTGGGTTAC